GTGTGTGTGTGTGTGTTTGAGGATACGAAAAACAAAGAAATCGCGACTGGGTGGTTTTAGGGGGAGAGGGATTTAGAAAAGGGTACATAACCTGGTTCAAAGAGTCACTTTATTGTGGGAATTAACTCTTTAAAGAGTCTAAATGATGCCAGTCACTGGTTATAATATAAGAATGCAGGAGTGTGTGCTGCTCTGTATACAACAGTGGCATGCTGGTTGACACATACACACTGCTAGAAAGCTCTTGAGAGAGAAAGATCCAGGCAAAGGAAGAGAGGTGAGACAGAGAGAGAGAAGAGCATCGTTGGTAGCTCCTGCCTCTGGCTAATTACTGTGAGTAATTAAACTAGTCGCAGATGTATGTCAGCGATTATGCTGCTGTAATGGAAATGAATGCGAGCGAGCGTGTGAGTGCATGTATGGGCGTACTTGTAACAGAGCATGCTTATGCGTACAACGTATATACTGAAATGTTTGCCTGTCTGGAATCTGTTGGCTTTGTGAATTCTGGTCTTCGTCTCTTCTGCTCCCCTCAACTTGGCATGTGGGTGGACACTTTAATCACGCTCAACTCACTAAACTTTACAGACAAGAATTGAGCTAATTGTGTGTTGTTTTTTATCAAAAGCTGTTTGTATGAGAAACAGCTGGAGTGATGTCTTTAATAGTGTTTACAGAAGGATAGGCATGCAGTACTGTACATGTGCAAGTACAACATATTGGCTGCTGAGTGCCTCAGTAATCCTCAGAAGTTACTTGTTGTGGTGGCAAACACTCTACAGTAAGATTTGTTCAGGCAGAAGACGGAGACGACAGTACAATTTCTACTACTGAGATATATGGGAAGGTAGGTGAAAGGGAGGGAGGGTGGGGTGGGTGAGATCTTCTCATGGCGCACTGCCAAAGACTCAGCCAACCGAATTGATGGATGGGAATCAGTTTGGGATGAACAAAGCAAAAGAGGTAAAAATGGATGGGGCGACGAGTGTACACAGTACGAGGAGGTGAGGAATGAAAAAGAGAGAGAGAGATTCAGTTGGATAGACTGATGGAGGGGGAGACAGAGCTTGTATGTGTGTGTCTTACTGGGGAATTTCCTTTCTGTTTACAGAAGAAGATAAAGTCCCCGTAGTGACGCGAGAAACTCAATACTTCCCATAATTGTGTCGAGGATAGTTCCTACACTGGCTTGTCCTCGAGAGGACTCCCGATCAATGCCTGCTCAAGTCCTGCTCTGTTCATTACAATGTCCAGTTTCACATTGAATCATGTTTTATTTTGGCCACGTTTGTCTGTTTCACCATCCAGGATGTGTATTTTTTTAGTCTTGGTGAAAGCCAGTTTTAAACAGATATTCCACCCAAAATGTACTTTAGAGTATTAAAGATCCAGTTCAACGTTAAGGAGGATTTATTGGCAGAAATTGAATATAATATTTATAGGTATGTATTCACCTGAATATAGAAATCATAAGAATGAGCCATTTTTATCTACAGAGGGAGCGGATCACCTTCCGTGGATCCTCCATGTTAAACCGCCAAAAATGAACAAACCAAACACTGGCTGTAGATGGTGCATTTCGCATTTTTCGTGAGTTTGGCGTCCACTAATGATTCTCCTACACACTTCCACAACCCATTCTCATTCCCAGGTCGTCAAATACAGAAGTGAGTGGTGTTCTGTTAGTTGCAATCTGCATCTTCACCACTAGATGCTGAAAAATCCAGGAGTGGATCTAGAGAAATATTCAAGTGGCAGAAATGTATGCTGATTAAATCACAAACAGTCACATTTATAAATATTTGCTTGGATTTGCCCCCAAATGAAGATATTTGAACTCAAACACATTACATTATTGTGGCACATTAGTAAAGCGTTGAATAAAAATACCTAAAGGTGGCATTAGAAATCAATAAATTGCTTTATTAACAATCTTAAAAACATTTATTTGTCTTTTTTCATTGAACTTATTCTTGTAACTTGATCTAAAATGCAACCATAACTGATAGTTAAATAAATTTCTGGGTATTTTTTACATTTGGCACCAAACTGCATTTAAATGCCTTCAAAAAACAACAACAACCATTA